CCAGAGGCCACCAACACCAGGCAGTTGGTTCTCTATCAGGCTGAACCCCGGGTGCCGATTTCCCAAGCAGGGGCAAGGCCGGGGCCCACAGTTTGCATTGGTGTGGGCCCCTGAAAAAAAATGGTTGAAGCCCTGTTTCGGTCAAGGACCCACAGTACCTAACAGGGGGTCATAGGTCGGCTTGTGGCCCCACGTTGGTTACGGGCTTTGTTGGGGAGGTGCGGAGAGGGACCGAAGAGCCCTTTGGGACCAAAGGTCAAGGGCTCGATTGAAGGGCTCAAGGACCCGAAGAACTTGCCATAGGGCACGTTAAGGATGCCCCCCCCCCCCCCATCCCTCCCCGCCCGCAAGGCCGTGGCTGCAAGTGTCAGTCAGAGGGCCTCTTGCATTGATTCAGGACACCTGAGACCATGCGGGAGTCTAAGTCGGCTAGAAACCACCAACACCGAAGAGTAGGCTACGTGTCGGTCTGGGCCCAGAGGGTCTTTTTACCAAGCATAAGCACGGCCGAGCCCGCGGTTTGCATTAGTCGGGGCCCCTGAAACCATGACTGTGTCGGTCGGGGTCCCACAGGGCCTCACCGAAGGTCCTGTGTCGGCAAGTGGCCCAAGCCGCCAGGATTCGTGTTTGCGTGGATTCGAAAAGGGGCCCGAAGGGCCTCTCGGGACCAAACATTAAGGGCTCAATTGGACTCGCCCCCCCCCCCCCTCCGTACTTGTAGTGCCGTGACCTGAAATGTCAGTCAGAGGGCTTCTATCAGGGTCAGGTCTGTTATGATCCTCTTTCCCTAACATATGAGAACTCGATACGGAGACAGTCAACTACGTGTCCATCTGAGTCCTTGGGACCCATTTCACAAGGAGGAACGAGGCCGGGCCCACGATTTCCATTGGTTGGCGTCCCTATAACAACGCGGGGCTCCTTTATCTGTCAGAGGCCCGCAGGGCTTAAAAGGGTGACATGTGTTGCCAAGAGGTCTCAGGTCGGCCAGGAGAACATTTGCTGAACAGGGATAGGGATGGGACCCGCAATGACAGAGGGCCGCTTATTAGTACCGGAGGGCGCTAGAGGGTACTAGTCAGGATCCTCAGTACCGAACGGTGAGCCTTCCAACCCAATGTTAACCAACCCAACCCATGGGCCCGTTAAGCCGAACTGGAGTCTGCGTCCATTATTGGATCGCCTGCGGCGATCAAAGGTCTTGTTTTGTCACTGAGGGTCCCTACGTCGATACGGGCCCAACTCCGTGGGTCAGAAGGCGTCCCACGTCAGGGAGAGGGACCAGTGCGGTATGATGTATCCCTCTGAGGGCCTCAGGATCGATCATGGGATCCCGCCCATGTCGCCAGAATAGTAGCCGGAATGGACACCCCGCGTTGGGACGCAGTGACCCGCGGCCCTTTACCGGGAACTATAATATGCCTCTAGTGTTCCATTCAGGCTGCCTCTTGCCCGGAAAGAAGCAAGTTATCTCATAAGTGTTGAATAGGGTATGTCTAAGTGAGCTAAAGAAATGAACAAGGCCATCTCATGTTTGCCTGAAGACGTTCATTCTTTTCCAGCATCGACTAGTGAAACAAATGACATCAAAAGGTTTGAGACTGCGCGCTCGCAGTCTCGGCAGCAAGGACAGCGATGGCCAGGGTTGCAGCTTCCGCAAAACCGAACGACGTTGACCACTGCCGTGAAACAGCAGGCGGCGAACGCCACACGCGCGAGAACGACCGTCGTAAAATTATGATTCCAAATGCCCTTTAAAATTAAGCCGTACCTTTCAGATATTAGACTGGGCTATTTTGCATAACTTTGGGCTTGTCTTCTGGACAGATTAAAAGTTACTGCAACACAAAAGGAGAGATCATTCCTTTGCCATTTTAGTTCCACCACGAGATTCCACCACCACTGCACGGTGGCGTAACGCAGAATCCGCTTTTTTCCTCAATCTAAAAATCACAGAGGGGAAATATGTGCCTGGACACCCCTGTAAGTATATAATTTGATGTCCTAAGGCGTCCAAAGGTACTCCTTTGAGATGTGTAATTTTTCTGCCCACCGGTCCGTCAGGGGTTACAGTTTATACAGGGGCTGAGGCTGTGCAGCCTATAGAGACTGCAACACATAGAGTTGAGGTTTCTGTTGCTAAGATTTGCTGGCGCGCATGATTACAATCACGTTACATAATTTGCGGCATAAATCGATGGAGCCATTTTCACGATAGCTTATGTACTGAGAAGTTTTGACAAAAATGTTTCTGTAAAGTTTTAGTATATACCTAACGTTCTCATAAGGAAAACACTTGTTTTCATGCAATTCCAATAACGTGCAACAAGTAGGCCCTATGCATCCAATTAAGAATAAGTGTGTTTTATGAAATAAGACCCGTCGCAGAAATTTTAGCCCGTGCTCTTAGTTCACCTAAGCTCCAGGCCAGTACAAGGTCTGGCAATCAGCAATGTGCATCGGTGGAGGGAATTGAATGCCGGTTGGCTCAGTATTGATTACATCGGTGCTGTGTGAAACGGGTGGGCTTTGAGGAACATTTTAATCAAGGAAAATTTGCCTTGGATCATTTTATGACGTATAAGGCCTGTAAGATCTGTAGGTACTGTAAGCAAGCTCTGCAAGTACTGCGAATACTGCATGCCTATGAACAGGAACGCTACAAAGACAAAGGAGTTTGTTTTTTTCGAGTCTGCTTCGGAGATGCCACCGAATTTGTAAACAAGCTTTTAGAAGTTTCGGTAGAAAGAGACCTGGAATCATATCTGTCCGTAAAAGTACGATCTTGCTTATAGCAAGCTAGCCGCAATTTTATCTCAGCATGCGTCTTCACAGACATGTTTTTAAAACTCCTTGGAGTAGTTTTGGCCGAAAAGCGCTGATGAAAGGTATGCGGTAAGAAAATAAGCGCTGAGAAGTTTTTAAAAAAGTTGTAAATGTCTTTCAGCGTATTTCTGAGTGAAAACGGCCTATAACTGAATGTTGTCCTGATAAACATGGCTGGGCCACGTTAATACAAACGCGGCACGCGTCGCGGCGGTCTTCTCCCTGTGTAAGGCACGCACCGCAACGGCGCGGCGGTCTTCTCCCTGTGTAAGGCACCCACTGCAACGGCACGGCAACGCGGAAGATTGGAACACCTGAATCACACAGGAGCGCGTCATCTGGCACGGAGGCACCTTATATTCGCGCTTGTCGGATGGGTCGCAAATTTTACACACATCCATTTGAGAGTGTGATACATTTTCCAATGGTTTACGCCTTCGTTATGCGAAAAAACATGTGTTGCTCCGCTGTATCATATAACTACATCACCCTTTTCACACAACCCGGTGAACCTATCATCACGTTTAGTGACGATATGCACACAGCGTCAAGGCTCAGCCCACGAAGCGCCATTTTTACCTTTCTTGTAGCGTAGACTTGTGCTCATGATCCCATATCTCCATGACCTAGCATGGTCTGAAGTTGAAACTTTTTAGGACAGGTATTGGGTCGTCCCAAATGAAACAAGCACCGGCTGCATCTGAGTCTGCTAAACCATTTGCGAGGCGCCTAGGGCATTGTGCAACCTCCTGCCTTACATGCGATCAACTAAACCTCGTTCAAGTCCTTGGGAAAACGATAAATGAAGATAAATGAGAACTATTACCAAGTGGTAAAGACGCAGGAAGCGGCAGATATGGCATTGTTTGCATGGTTACACATTCCGCAACCTGTATGCGGGCTACACAACTGTTACGTACCTACGCTCAGAGGTCTGGGCAGACATGAAGCTTACCAAACAAAGCGGTTGTGGCGAATGATGGCCCACAAAAACACGTGTTGACCACCGAGCATTGCTTGTTTGTGTGTGAAGCCTTACAAGCGTGGGTGTCGGTGCTGCATGTGTTTGTTGATGGACGCCTCGGTCGAGATCCACTGCAGAAGTGGAGGTGCTGAAAAATTGCCGTGCGTTATTGATCATGCTGGCTTTTCACTAGTGATTTGTCAGTCGCGTCCTACTTTCGTGTACAGCGCAACGATCGTCACCCCCACTGTCGGCCAGCGGAAGTGCTTGGCAGGACCAGAATTCTTTCTGCTCCGTCTATGCCGGCAACAAGCCCAACGCCATGGCCTAACCGTCACAGCATGGTGAAATATGCGGACTCAACTGAGCTTAGCGTTGCGACACCCCGGTGTTCGTGATAGGCTGTCCGATAGGTGTTGCTGGGTTTGGCAGGATTTTAGCTGCCTGGTGAATCAATCAGTAGTGAAAGATTCAGCTATTTCCCACTGCCCGGAAACATAACTCGGAGGTTAGACCAACACTTATCTTGAGTGTTGATCTAGATGAATGCTAGTCTTGAGTTGCGCAGAAACAGTGATGCTGCTCGCCACAGCCAATCTTGGTTTTGATGCTAATGTGCAGATAAGATGCAATAGGCCCGCGGGGATGTGGCATCGCCAATGGCTGGACGAAGTGCGTGGAAATCACGCTACACCTGCAGGGTGACTGATTGTTCTAGGCATCGCGACTCCTACAGTACCTAGCTGGGGTGCTCCGATTCAAGCACAGACTTAGCCATGTCCTGGCGCGGCTCTTGGCAATGCTTACTATCTCACCAACTGTACTGCCAGGTTTGTTTCTGAATCCATTACACGTAATATACCATTGATCTCTTTAGCGTGCCATAGATGTGGCTGCTGGTTGAAAAACCTCCAGTTAATCCGTACTCCATCGGATGGAGACGGCGTGGTGGACACCTTGCTGTTGGTCCTGTGAGAACGCTGTGGTTAACCCTGCCGATTTGTGAGGTTGATGACAATTTAGGTTGAGTTGTCTTATTTTCGTCGCGTGTTTTCCGATTTTATGATATTTCGCCACTGCGTTGCTTTACCTTGTTGGTGGTTATGGTGATGAACATGGTGATGGTGATGATGGTGATGCCAGTTATTATTGTATCGTTATCAAGATTACTGTCATGATGATGGCGATGGTGACGATAATCATCATCAACATGATGCTGATGATGGTGATAACGATGGTGACGATGGTACATATGAGGATGCTGATACTGATGCTGGTGCTGGTGGTGGTAGTAATAATGGCGATTAGGCTTAAGCATGGTTTGTTGCTGCACTCGGCAGCGTTCCATTCGACGATGCATCCATAACTATTGACTGATTGTGTAAAATGCGTGTGCAATGGGCAGCGGGCGTAGTATTCGTGAGCCAGCCGTTTATTGCGACTTTAATGGTTGAACACACGAGTGTTGATGGAATCATTGCGAAACTTGCGGGGATTACAAGCACGAGACTACCAGCCACTTCAAAGCATTGAGCCACGGCTATTCACATACTCATTTCCTTGCATAGATCATTAGCAGTGTTCTTTTTCGAGCGACGATAGGCACGACTGGGCCAGCATAAAACACAAAAACACGGATTGTGATCATCTGATGTGCATCATTTGCCAGTAACGTCAGTGAAACGTGTCTTTGGAATAAAACGGGGCATTGGCAAATCTTTTTACACACATCAGTTAGGGCCTGATTAGTGACAGGGTGACAAATGTCCACAAATTGGGTGCAAAACCCTATTGCTATTTGACACAATAGCACCAGTTAACAAGGCTTATCAGTATTGTCGGTAAGGATAGACAGGAAAACATCTGTGGCAAGCTGTATCCGCATCTCTGTTGTATTCTTTTTTCATCTCGCGACTGGTACATCCCTAGCTGTAATCATCTCTAACGACGGCTGACTTCTTCGAAACATACTACTTGACGTGTTCATTTATCTATGGACTGTAGCACGGTGCACGTCTGTAAAGTGCAGTAGAGTGTCTGGGAGCCAGTTGCGCACAGTTGCAACGATATGTCTCAAAGCCCTTCACATCGAATTGCTTGGAGAAGAATGTGTCGTCGCCACATCGGCTTCAACTTTGCGCACTAGCGTATACCGGTGGTCGTGTGTTCAATACGGGAGACGTGTGCTCGGCCAGCATACAACAATAAAGGAGACGTGCTCTCGGCCAACATATAACAAGACAGGAAACGCAACACAAAACAATACAGGATACGTGCGCGCGGCCAGCATCTAACAAAACAGGACACGTAACACATAACAATACAGGAGACGTGTGCTCGGCCAACAAATAACAAAACAAGAAACGCAACACATGACAATACAGGAGGCGTGTATTCAGCTAACATATAACAATGCAAGAGACACAATACATAACAATACAGGAGACGTGTGCTCGGCTAGCATTTAACGAGAACTTTTCCACATTACCACAAAGTATGGTCGACATCAGTAGTGTGGTTGGGCAGAATTTACTGTTTTTTTACAGGCGATGTGTCCTCGGGAACGTCTTTTTATGGACGACAGAAAATGGCCAAGAGTTATGCTGTATATCCCGATGTGCTTTAGCCATTTTCGCCCGTGGTGTGTTTTGTGCCCATCCGTACGGAATTCGCCGTATGCACACTTATGTGTCGCTTCCCGAGCGCATATTACTATAGCACACATTGCAGCTGGACAAGGGAAAGCTATTCCATCCAGTTTCATGTTAATGTCGCAACGTGTGGCTGCTGCCTATACCATAGCACAAAACAGGAATATGCAGCAATGGATTCCAGCAACTCGCCGCACTGTTACCACAATCTGGAGGCGACGAAGAATGGAAGTTTTCCTGCCGCATTTCGTAGTTTACGGAACCTGGCCTGTTCTTTGAAGGGAACCTAACGCCTTTTGAACTGAGAACCTCCGTTTTTATCAAACACCTGAAAGTTTTGGACTAAGAGCATCAGTCCTTTCGAAGCACCGATCTCGTCCCTTTGAAGCCGGAACGAAATGTACAACAAGCGCGCCGCCGCCACAGCCGGATGAGTGACGTTGATTGGTGTCCCTGCAGAACGACTGGGTGTGCAATGATGCCTGGCGACCGTTCGTCGTGCACGCCGTCTTCTGGGTGGGCAACATCGTCGGCTCCTGGATCTGGGGCACCATCAGCGACAAGTGAGTCGCAGCGCGCTGGCGCCGGCGCGCTGTTGACGGCGGCGGTGTTGATGTCGGCGATTGGCGTGCTCAGCTGGCGGCCGGATCTGTGTTGTATCCCGGATGACGTCCGGAGGCCAGCGATGTTATCCCGTACACACGCCTCGCGCCGTCTGACGCCCCACGTCGCCCCCAGTCACGCCACCACGGGGAGACGTCTCCTCGGCATGCTGGTGGCACCCCCTTAACAGAGTGTTAGGAAGTGCGCCACGCCCATCCTTTGCCTACGATTGCTGGTATGGACTGCTCAACGAAAGGCGCTGTCCTGCCATTTGATTACCACCATTTGGTTGTTGAAGATCTTGCTGTCACTGCGCTCTCTATCATGCAAGTGATGCTGTATTCCGACCCCAATTGACAGTGTTCTCGGAACCCCAGTTCACCGCGTTTCCGGGGCTCCAGCTGATTGTGCGATCGGTGCTCGAACTGACTGCGATCCGGGCTCCATCTAGATGTGCTCCAGGGTTCCACCTGACTGTGCTCTCAGCTGCCTACTGAACTGTGCTATCGATGCTAAAGCTGATCGTGTTGTCGGTGCTCCAGCTAATTGTGGTCCCAGGACTCCAGATGACTGTGCTGTCGTTGCTCCAGCTGACTGTGGTCCCGGAGCTCCAGATGACTGTGCTGTCGGTGCTCCAGCTGATTGTGGTCCCGGGGCTCCAGCTGACTGTACTGGCTGTGCTCCGCCGCCAGGGTTGGCCGCCGTCCGGCTACGCTGGCCTCGTTCGTGGTGTACGCCGCCGGTGGCGCCCTCACCTTGGCCTGGCCCTCCAGCATGGCCGCCCTAGCGGCCGTCCGCTTTCTCGTTGGCACGGCGCACCACACCATCTCTCATCTGCCCTACATGCTAGGTGAGATGCCCACACCGTCTCCCATCTGCCCTGCATGCTGGTTGGAATGCCCACACCATCTCACATCTGCTATAATATTAAGCCCGTGCCAATCCTGGGGTGGGGGCACCGATAATATAATGGTCATAGGGAGTGTTCCACATTGGTAGGGGGGAGGAGGGTAAACTGAAGTAGTCATATTGAAATTCATTCGGTGCAGATCACAGCCCTACCCTTCCAAAGACCTAAGCCCTCTAGTTTCTGAGGTACACGCCCGCGAAAATAGTGAAAGGCATATGGGGGAGAGTGCTTCAGTCATCTTGCTATTCATCGCATCATAATAACGTCATTCAAATCCTACTATTCCATGAGCCATGCGGCGATCAAGACTAAATATGATTGCGGAGGCGTTCATATCTGGCGTTCGTGAGCGCGATTACCAGATATAACAGCCATCAGTTGGTTTTTCATCAAGTTGTCTCAGAAACGATGGCGTGCTCAAACAATGACGTTTTGAGGAGCATCTTTACTTAACAGGGAATTGTGTTGCTTGGAACAGCTTTTTCTCTGAAAGGATACCAATAGCTGTAAGCGAGCTTATTTCATCATATTTAATGCCTGCTTCATTATGTTCAAATGTGAAGCGCTCCCTTCAAGCTGCGAGTCTTGAGAACCGGAGATACGAGGTTTCGTTCCCGCGGTGCCTGCGCCTTCTGCCAGGGTGAGGGGGCAAGCGTCGCCACATGGCCTCAGCAGCTGAGTGCATCGCAAATCCCAAATGACGACGACTACCACCCTTGGTGAGAGCCCCGCATCATCTCCTAACAAGTCCACATGGTGGATGAGGATCCCAAACCATCCCCAAACTTCCCACAAATGCTGTTCTGCGAGCCACCTGACTGTCGTGAGCCGTCAGCAACCAATGGCGCGCGTCCTCTTGGGCAGTGATCGAGTACTGCGGTGCGAGGGCCCGCGTCTACCCGCTGCTGGCGCTCATTGGCTCCTGGGGCGTGGGCGGCGCGCTACTGCCCTGGATCGCCTACCTGGTCTGGGACTGGCGCATCCTGATGCTGCTCTCCAGCCTGCCGCTCCTGCTCACCCTGGCGTTTTACAAGTGAGCGGGGCGGAGGAGGGACGGTGGGGTGGGAGCAGCGCCATGCTCTGGCCGCTGAACAGCTGGTGACGGCTAATCGCCGCAGAGAATCTGCAGCGATTTGTTGTCATGTGCGCATCGTGAATTCAACGTCTCAGCCAGAAACCATCCAGCGTCATCGTGTATCAGCCGTAATCTTGGATTCGTCAACCGGACAACCGTCTGTTGCCTCGTAACCCGTCACTTGCACCCAGATTTGTCAGCTGGATACCCGTCCGTTACCTCGTCACCCGTTACCTCGTCACCCGTTACCTCGTCACCCGTTACCTCGTCACCCGTTACCTCGTCACCCGTTACCTCGTCACCCGTTATCCCGTCACCCGTCACCTCACCTCCGTCTCCTCACCACCCGTCATTTCGTCACTCGTCACCTTGCCACCCGTCACTTCGCCACCCTTCACCTTGTCACTCGTCACCTCGTCACCCGTCACCTCGTCGCCTCATCACCTCGTCGCCTGTCACCCATCATCCGTCACTTCGTCACTCGTTGCCCGCACCTGGATTCGTCTCCAGATACCTGATGAAGCTCTTGTATTGGTTTGCTCTGGGATCACCTTCCCGTTGTTGACGGGAGTCACTGTGCATGTTGAGAGTTTGCTTTACGAAATTATTCCTCGCAGCTACATCTCAGCGTCAAACCTTTCCTCGCAGCTACATTCCGGAGTCATCCTCCTGGCTGATGGTTCGTGGTCGCGGAGAGGAGGCGGCCACCCTCTTGAGGAAGATGGCGGCAATCAATGGGCAGACGCTGGATGAGGAAGCGTTCGGCGAGGTGCTTATCGACATGACGGCCCGCGATCCCGACAAGGAGACACAGAGCATCCTGCTGGTGCGGAAGCACCCCCGCCTGATGAAGAACATGGTGCTGGTCATTCTGCTGTGGTGAGAACATTGTGGGCGTATTCTGTGGTGTGGTAGTATATTTTGCACGCGCTGCACGCCTTTTTCTGTAAGTGTTGTTAGAGCCTGACAAAAACAAATTTGTTAGAATTTCCATGCTCCGAATGGGATGGTTACATGCTCCTCCCTCCCCTCTCGTCACTGTACCCGTCATGACATCACTTTCTATGTGGTTTTCTAACTTTAAAAGCATCCCATTAGTGATAAGTGAACTCTTCATATCAGGTGCTTGCTTCCGTACTTTCAAATGTGGATCATTCCTCTAAACGACTTCGACAGTCGGTGTGTTTGTCATCGTCAACCACCGACTCAGGAACCCAGGCTGACCTCGACTGCCGCGTCGACAGGATGGTGTCGTGTCTGTGCTTCTACGGACACACGCAGAACACGGGCAACCTGGGCGGCTCTGTATTCAGCTCGTTCTCGCTCGGCGCCACTACCGAGCTGCTGGCTATGACCGTGCCGTTCATCATCAACGCACGGGGTCGCAAGTGGCCGATGGCCCTCTTCTTCGTCACGTCCGGCCTCTGCGGCCTGCTCTACGCCCTGCTCGGCGATGGTGAGAGCAGCCACGCCCCCACCGGCGGCGGCGGCGCGGGATAGCTTGTAGATGCCACTGCTGGCAGCCGTCACACCATCGTTAGAATGGCTTGGTCATAGGATAGGTTTGGCCCGTCAGGGCATTGGATTACCCTCGAATTGTTAACTGTACTAAGGGGAAAGAACGACCCCTTACGCACCTGGATCAATATTTGTTTTCACCCTGCATCTGTGCCGGGTTTTCTTGAGTCTGCTGTGCACGTGGTACATCACGTTATGTGCGAGAAAAAAATTGTCAGCAGTGGGTGAGAAGCACACTATGTCACAGTTAATCGCTTACATGGTCCTAGCCACTCAAACGCGGATGACGTGAGGTAGCGACAAAAGAGCCGGCGGCATGACAAACCTCCCGCATCAAAGCCGCGGCCGTCTGACCGTTGCCGGCGGCTGCAGCGCTGCCTGGCCCGGCGCGTCTGGCACTGGGCCTCACCGGGCGGATGCTCATCATGGGCGCCTACAGCACCTGCCTGCAGTACGGCCCCGAGCTCTTCCCCACCGTCATCCGCGGCCAGAGCCTGGCACTGTACGAGCTGCTCGGTGGCGTGGCCATCTTCATCAGCCCCTCCATCGTCTACCTGGTACGGGCCGTGCAGAAGCACCTATGGACGGATCTCACGGAAAATTGAATATTTCGCATTCGGTGGACATGACATAGATTTCGTTTTTAGCATTGGATTTATCAGAGTTGATAACCGAAACATGTTCCGCTAAGCTTGTTTTGTAGCTGATATCGGGCGAAGGGATGCAGTTGCTCATGCCATCTCTCTTCGTTCACCCTCTGCATTCTCGTGCAGCAGCCAAAAACTTTTTGGAGTGGTGATGACTGGCTTGTTGATGAGCGTTTGATGGTATACAGTGAGTTCCAGTTGAATAACTTGGAGAATTGCGATTTTTTGACATAGTCCGAACAAAGTAATCCTGAAACCGCCCTCGATACCGAAGAATGCCAAAAATTTGCCAGAGCATGTCAAACTGGTGTAAAAGGCCAACAAGCCACATCACGTCGACTGGAATGGTTTGTCTATGAGAGAGAAAGGCTAGAGGGTTTGAATGAACCCCCGGAATGTATGCATACATGGTTATCCAAAGTTGTCATCCTTGTCGAATGAACGTATCTTTCTAGTTTTAGCTAAGGTTCCAAAAGTGAACTGGGTGCCGATGACTTTGGTCGTGCGTTTTACAGCACCAGCAGACCCCGGGGCTGCCACTGCTGATCATCGGCGCCATGTCGCTGCTTGGCGGCGCCATCACCACCCTGCTGCCGGAGACGGCCGGCCTCAACCTGCCACAGACGCTGCTGGATGGAGACCTGCTGGGACGAGATCAGAGTGTGCTGCCCTGCCGACGCCGGCCACAGCGCCAGGAGGGTGGAGACAAGGCGTAGTGACGAACTGAGCTGTGCCGTGACGAGACGACCCGATGCCAAGACGGCGCGGATCGGTGGGTGGGCCGAGCGAGTGGGCAGCGATGGGCGCGAGGGAAAGCGCTGGAGTGCCTTGGATGCTCCTGAAGGGTGACAGCGAACTATGGATGGCAGTGAGCAGCGCTTGGCGATGGTATAAACACGTTCGGAAAATGGCGTGCGTCGGGCGAAAAATTGTGGATCTTGCTGGACAGTGGCGAGATGGCTCACAGAGCTACGGAGAGACGAGACAAACTGTGATGAAAATTGACTGATTTGATCCAAAAGCGAAGTGATGCAGACTGGCATACTGGCAGGAATGCGCAGGACGAACGTGCGACGACCAAATTTGGTGAATCGCTTGAAAAGAGTGTGGCGAAATGGTTGGAAGCACTCAATTTTTAGTACTGATCACACATTTGGTGCATCTAATTGACAGCGAACGGCATTTAGCATAGGGACTGCTAACGCAGCTCTCACCTGATAACCTCCGAGCTCGGTGGCGATGCCTCTCAGGATTCGACGCGCCATAGAATGGACGCGATATCCCCAAACGCATACTTGCTAGTCCAGGATTGGGGCCACCTTATTGCGCTTTCAAGGGATGCGTTCTGAAGGAATAGCTCTAGATCAAGGAATATCACTGCTGGCATACCAGAAGTCACCACATTGTTCTCCCTAAGTGTTGCTCCATGACCAAGAGAGCAAGACCAAGTTTGTTTATGTCGTGACCAAGACTTTGTATCAGCCACTTCAGCTTCTACTTCATTAATGCATTCGCCCAATTGCCATCACGGCTGGTGGCTAGTGGTGAACGACGATTAGTATGTAAATGAAGGGTACTTAAATTGTCTTGGCTGCTCTTTTGCAGGTGTACAACTGAGTGAACCCGTGAACCACGTATTGCACTAACCTTACCACTGCCACGGGACTACTCGTGTAGTATAGCGTTGTGTTCAGGTATGGCTGAAGCGCAAAACGCTCCACGTGCTGCACAACTTTCATCAGATGCGCATAGCCTTAGTTGAACGTTCTGAGTGTTTGTTGCCAAACTTATCAATGTTGGTCTTGCTAATATGGATTGTGTTTAAGGATAGATGCGTCCACTCATTGAAGGTCCTTTAATTGGAATAGATCGCTGGCTCGTCCAGTGTTCTGTCAATACAAGCCCCTTCCTCAGAACGGTTTTTGTAGATACCATACGCAAAGTCCGCGCACTGAACCGGTCACTTTGTCTTCAAGCCAGCACTTATACAATGCACCCGAGACGCAAACTAGTTTTCGTGAGAAAACGTTATTCGGCTTTGAAATTATTCATACCGAGCGGCTGCAGAATAATACAGCACGTTGCAAAGGCCCAGGCGCACGTTCTTCGGCACGCTTAACTCTGCGACCCGGCGCACCCACCTGGATCACAGTGGTTTTGATTGCCTGGAAGTCAGTGGTTTGGATGGCCTGGAACTCAGTGGTTTACATGGCCTGGAACTCTGGTTTGTTTAGATGGCCTGGAACTCAGTGGTTTAGAGGGCCTGGAACTCAGTGGTTTAGACGGCGTGGAAGTCGGTGGTTTAGATGGCCTGGATTCAGTGGTTCGGATGGTTTGTGTGTCCACATACTGAGGGCCGATTTCCCAGCTATCGGTGACGTCATCCTTCGCGTTGTCAACCGCTGCTATACCAAGCGAGATGCCCCGGCGATTGGCATAATTCCCTGATCCATCCCATCTGCCCCTCATCCCTGCCATCACCAGCGCCGTGAAGCGAGTCGCCCAATGACAGCTTACCACTACCTTTGACAGCTTACCACTACCTTTGACAGCTTACCACTACCTTTGACAGCTTACCACTACCTTTGACAGCTTACCACTACCTTTGACAGCTTACCACTACCTTTGACAGCTTACCACTACCTTTGACAGCTTACCACTACCTTTGACAGCTTACCTCACAACCATCTCCTTGCATCCTCCCAGCACGATTTCCCTCCTCGTCACACGACGGATGTCGCGCTGGAATCAGTATCTGAACTCCGGTATCTGACTGCATTCTTGACGCCACCGACAGGGAGAGGTTTCCCTACCGTGCCTTAGTGATTTAAAGGGAGTGTGTCTGGTGTTTTCGATTTTCCAAATGCACGCCTAAGGGAGTTTTGCAATTATCTATGCGCTCCAATGTGCGTTTCGGTCTTCCAACGGTTTTTTTATCGATCGTATCAATGGCTATGGATGAACAAACACAATGCTAAAAAATGAACCAGTCAACCCACAGGAAAGGGCGAATGCACTGGCTTATATGTGGCGGACAACTGCGCGCTAGTGACATGGCCATTATCTTAGTTGCTACGGTCTCGTGCGCATGGGAGAGTGCTGGTGGTATAGAGCGGTACGCACTTGAAGATCCTTTGCCTAATTCGAGACGAAAAAAATCGATACCCTGAACATGCCTGGTGTACCAGCATATTTTGCCAGCATGTGCCAGCATCGCAGCGGCAATTTCAGCGCACGTGCCTTGCTATTTCGAGCGCTGAATTCCGTGCACATGCATTCGGAATTCTGTCATTAATTTCAGGGTATAGAAACCTTAGCCGCCTATAGCCGCTGCCAGAACAACGCAGAACAATCGCATTTTCATAGAGCCTAGTGCAGCCGATAGACACGACACAAAACTTCTGCCTCATCTCAATATAAAGTAGGTCAACATGAATTAATCGCGGTGCGCATCAACTGACCAGTCTTACCACGCAGCCAACCCCGTGCACCCGCAACCCCTAGCTGAATGTAAACAAAAATGACTATAAAAAACATCGGCATATTGACCGCCGCCATCTCTGCGCTCGCAAGCTGCTGTCAGCGCTGACAAGCAACATCGACGGAAAGCGATTGGCTAGAGCGAACGATACCTTCTCAATGATGATGTGTTTAGTAATGAATATTGCTTGGGGACTACCCCATAACTTCATTCTTCCATACAAAACTAAGAAAATGTTGGGGCTGTGACAATTTCTCGTCAGTGAAGGCGAATTGATACATGCCAATGGCACCAAAAATTTTAGATTAAAGTTATAAATCTAGATAAACGACATCCAAACTCTTGCCTTTATCTACCTGACTAGTAACACGTTACATGAACTTCATAAGATTTGTCAAGCAGGACTTGCCGGAAAGAAACCCATGCTGACTACTAATTATCAACTGATGCCTATCTGAGTGCAACAGAATGTTAGCCTTAGTGCATTTCTCTAAGGTCTTGCATACTATTGAGGTAAGACTGATAGGCCTGTAGCTGCTGTCACTCTTTGTGGTCCCCTTCTTAAATATCGATACTACATCGGCATTGCGCCAGTCCTCAGGTGCTTCCGAAAAGCTCAATGGACCCAGCTTGACTGAAGTCACTGAAAAACTATCAATACTGAAGCCATCCAGGTCCCCCAGGCGTGGTAGACGTCTCGCTAGGATAATGCATGAGGCAGCCGAAACTATATGCATTCCCCTGGCTACGCTGTTCCGCATAGCCGCGTAGCATAGCTGTTTCGCCTCCATTCTTTGCATCCGTATTTGGGCGTTTCGTTGAAATGTTCATGATATCATAAATTGCGGTCATGGAGACTTTGGCTGATTTGCCCTTAAAAGGCTGAGCACGGTTGTGTTGCTAAGTTGGACTTCACTGTCATCTTATATCTTATGACATCGCGCTACGCTGCTGGTCACAATGTTGTCTGCCTGGATTTTGTTCGGCGACATAAAAAGCGTGTTTTCACCCCTGACTGCCTACAACACAGAGGATAGCGACTAAACGTATATTTTCATACCACCATGCAGAGTTGACGACAGGACGTAAGTTTTGCATTGTAAACCTGGCTTAATGGTAATCTGCACGAAATCCAAAATTAAAGATGCATTATTCGGCTGACAACATTAATGACATGCCGAACGTTCAGGACTTGGCGTTGTTTTTTTATCAGTGCTTGCCGGCAAACTTCGGGTTGCGGTAACGGTAGCAGTAACGACGGAAGTTGGACAGGTATCTGGAGACATACCCGGAGTTGAGCCTTGCCGGGGCATTCTGAAAGAAAATCCACTTGGTGAGACTGACAGGTGACTGGAGTCCTATTCCACTGGATACGGCGCATTGTGCTGACAGGCCTAGCGTGGCACGCGCTATAATACGCATTTCGGCAACATTTGATGATTGGCGTGCACGCTCTGAACGTTGCTTACTCTGGAACCGCCGACGTAAAGCTGACACTGGGGATATGGGGCTGAACCAGTTTGGGGACGGATGCCTTCACCAGGAAGATTTTCATTTCCCGGACACATGGAGCTACTCATGTGCCCACCCGCTACCTATTCCAATCAGTTGTGCCGAAACGTTACTGACCCGCTTGTTAGCTTTAAGCTTTGGAAACGTGTCAGGAAGGACTACATCCAAACATACTATTTTGAATTTACAAATGCAAATGTAATGTTTCCTGCACAAATAACGAATGCAAGGAGTGAACAGTTATGTCGCATAGCATTTCTCCGAACACCTCCAAAACATTTCGGAAGCCTATTAATTATTACATATTACTACCGTACCCGTAATTTTCCTAAAAACTGTACCTAAACAGAAGTGTTACCTATTTCGTTTGGCTACCCGTGGGTTCATTTATCTCGAGCAAGTGCTCTAATTACCAAGTCACATTCGAATCTGTCAGTAATGCAGACTGAGTAATATTAAGAGCACTTACCCTGCCATGGAGTTTGAAGAAGGCGAGGAAGACCGCCTGGAAACCGACGGTTCTTCTGATTTCTTGCGGCAGGGAGGAGTACCCGATGACGGCCAGGACCAGCAGGTCCGAGCGGATTCCTCCAGCAAACCGCTTCTGCAAAAGCGTGATCACCAGGTTAGCGGTGCACGTCATTCGCATTACCCGAGGACCATCAAGTGCAAGTTATCAATCGATGTCGATGTGGTGATAGGTCACTCCACATAAAACGCCGCTAGCCCCATCAGGTTCCGGCTGACATGGCCACGCAATTATTTGGCAGCACAATTCACTTGCATTCACCCCGCTGCTGCGTGACGCAGCCCTTCGTCGCCCGTAGAAAGCGGCGTTGAGTCTACACACTTACCACGAAGGGATGGATCAACCTTCTGATGGTGGCCGGGCTGATCCCGCGGATTTGACTGACGAATCTACGCTGCGGGACATGGATGTCGCGCAGGTAGCCGTTCAGACCTCCAACCGAGGCTTGAGGCTGGTTGAACCTCGGGACGCCGATACCGGAGAGCACGGACAGGATGCCAGCGCCCGAGTTTGTGGGCTGGCGGAAAAACCACATGGTGCTGGTGCTGACAACAGCTTTCGCACCGAGGGTAAGAGCGTTACGTTGGTGATGGCGCCAGTGAGAGCCCGGGCGCTGAGGCTGGCGCAACGCAAACGGCGCAACCATCGTGACGGCAACAACACAGGTGCTGGGCCTGATGAAACAGCGGCACTGCGATGCTGATGAAAGCTGACAGGCGAGGCTAGCAAAATGACGGAGTGGTGCGGATTCCAACAGCAGCCTGGCTGCATATCAAAGATGAGAATATAAGAGTACTTCCGACGTTTTTCCTAATTAGATGCAGCTCAACGAATGCGAGTTATCGAACATAAGAAGAAACGCATCTCCATAGTATTGATCTTCTCTTTGTAAAAGTATCACCTAACGGGATGAACCGCTTAAATACTCAAGAGGGCATGACTTGAGTGGTTCCGCAGCTTCAATACCAATTAAGAGGTCATCCCGCCAGACTTACAGCAGTGATGGAGGAGCTGATGGGTCGGAAGACGGTGGGGAGGGAGGACAGCGGCAGCGAGTTGTAGAGCGAGTTCAGAGACCCGGCGGCTGGGATGGCTCCGACTGAAACAAAGGCGGCGTTGGTCTTAGCCCGACCAATTTCATTTTGTGGTCCCAGCGGCGTTCAGGCAGCATCTTTGCCTTTATGTGGCGTTGCTTTGTGGTCATTTGGTGCCGAACGTGTCGGGATAAATGCCACTTTCGTTCTTACTGTGACCAGTACAAATTACGTTTTGACATCTAGGTTTTCCTACGCATTTCAAAATCTTATCAACATTTCATGAGCGCCAGCAAAACGTTCGCAGCCAGATTTTGTGCAAGCCGCCACCGATATACCAAACAGGACAGACCAGGCGGCAGGTCAGGTGATCCTTGCATCACAGACCTTCACACGGACCACCACAGAACAACACAGACATCTACCCATGAATCACATTCATATTGGTGTTCATGGATACCAATGCAAAGACTCACAGCCTTGGCCATTGTAACCCAGCACACGTCTGGTGAAGAAGTTGTTAAAGCTGTCCGAGGACACGGGCCGGAGCTGTTGGGCGGCCAGGCGGATGTCAAAGAGAGCCAGAGGCGCCTGCGACAGAATAAAGACACAATGACCATCGGCTGAGATACAGAGGAGCAGCAAGTATGGCCTGCCCTTCTGAAGCAAAACAATTCGTGTTTTGTGAAATGTTGCTCAACGATCACCTTTTGTATTCCAAACAAAACTCCGTTGCTCTCAAAGCTGTCTTGAACATTTTCATGGACGTAAAAGGTTACATAGTCGGATTACCAAAAGCGATGTAATATCTCATGGCGCATCGGGGCGTGCAGGATGTGAATAATCTAATGATGAGATCTGCAATTATGTGGCCATCATGCAAGCTCTGGCAATATTAGCGTTACAAAGAAATAATTGGTGTGCATAAAACCCCAGGCTGTACTCACGGTCACGCTAGACCAGTATGGGAACTTGTATTTGACCAGGTACGATCTCAGTCCGCTGAGGTAAGAACCTCGGTAGAACGGAGCCGGCAGAACTTCAAACACAGCGACCAGGAACGCCAAGCGACGGGGCCGGGCCGGGATCTACACATATGCATGCATTATCGCAGAGCCATTTAGGCCATGCCGGAAAGCACTGAACACGTTTCATATAGCACAAGGTATTAGCGAAGCCAACAGTAAAGCATGAATATATCGCTCAGCAAGTTCCTCGAGACAATCCGACCGTGTTAAACAGATGAGAGCTGAGAAAAGTATAGCGTACTGGTCAAGCATCGCAGTAAGGTAAAATACTGAACGGAAGTTACAGAACTCTCCACCTGACGTCTATTGGCTGGGAAATAATTGTGGACAATTATGACCATCACAAATTTAAAGCTACACGATGAGTAAAATAAAGGTGCGCGATGCGAGCACACCAAACAACAGGATATTCCTGGTGATTTACACAGTGGCCCAGGCAGCCGATGCTACGTCACCATAAGCTGACGGTGGTATGCTCACCCCACTATAACTGGTCCGCCTGTAGATGGGCAGACGCTGTTGACTGAGGATGTAGCGGATGATGTAGGCGGCCGGCAGGCCGGGCAGATTGCTGTAACGCCTCTGCGCCAGCTGGATGGCCGAGTTATAGTCGCTGGGTCTCAGCAGACCTCCCAGGACGGAGTCATACGGGCTGGGCAGCGCGATGGTTTGACCGTGGCCGTGGCCGTGGCCGTGGCCGTGGCCGGGGTGGTGGTGGCCGTAAGTGGCCGCCACCGCCGCCAGAGTGACCACCAGAACGGTGCGGATCATGGCTGCTCTGTCGCTGTCGGTATTGCTCGGCCCCAGACCGTGCTACGAGTTGCTGACGGCTGGTGCCCGCTTTTATACGCGCTCAAGAGACACCTTTAAACACATGTCAACGCTAGGTACGTGGGCGTGGAGAGCTGGGGGAGGGGGAGGGGGCAGAGGCAGCAGGTCTGTCATTCTTGCAGAACGGTGCGCCAAAAGTGCAAAGTTGGTCAATGGCACGTGGTCATATAGAAAGGTCAACGTGCTGGGCATGTACAGCTTAAATCTGCATCTATAGGCGGCATTTCTGGTCAATGGTCGTCGCAAATAGTGCATACTTTCAGGGACTAGCTCACGTTTTATCATGTTGATTTATAGCAACTCAACAGTGGCTATCAACTCGCCATCACCATTCGTATTGTTGTCATATTTCCAACATTGAGAAGACAAGCGCAAGTTAAGGAAGTCAACAATTTGGTGGCACTGAGGATTAAATCCGCTCATAGCATTTTCAGATCCATTGATCAGATAGATTCATGTCGACCGTTATGCATGTTGTACGAATTAGCTTAAATACTTTAAAAACGTGCTTGTAATGTATTTGTAAAAAAATTTAGCTTCTGCTTAGCACTTCGACGGGGAAAAATTGTTTTAACACCATTCTCGTGGGCGTTGAATCGTTAAACCACGTTTAGCGAGATAAACCTACGCTTATCATACAAATCAGAACTTTTAGACATCCGCTTCTCCAGTCCACTCTTTTCGTCCACCGAAATTCCAGGAAATACCGGGCCCGGCAGTCAGCCATGTCAATCGGTCAAAGGGATGACTGCTGGCCGCGCTAATATGGCTTATATTGATGCTGTTTGGCGCAAGGGTGAGGTAAGGCGGGCTTTGAGAATTATTGTTTTTAAGGGCCATTGAACGTAAATCATGCCTGAGCGTGTAAACTCTGTAAGTTCTGCGTGTCTGTGAACAGGGACGCAGCCAGGATACAGAATTTTGTTTCTCCGCGTGTGTCTCGGATATGTCGTGTAATATTTTGAAATGTTTCGAAAGGTTACTGTTGTATAAAATTTAGCATATTAACAGCTGCACAAACATGATTTTACTACCGCACATCGCAATTTCATCAACATGTGCGTGTTTGCACACTTAATTTGAAAGCTCTGCTAAGTATTTCTGATGGCAAATTCCTCATTAAGTTTTTGTTTTTTCGCAGCCATACGCTGACAGCTTTTTAAAATGTTTTAAAAAGCTCCGCACCATAATCCATCATGAAAACTGCTATTATATAGTTCTATGCAATCATTCTCCAACTCCCCTAATTCAAGTGAAACGCTCTGAGATGTACGAAGTGGGTAACGTCAGACTGCAATATCAACCAGCAATGCATCTTGCAAAAGTGCTCGGAGATCTTATAGACATCTTAAAGAAACACAGCGTTTTATCAATGCTGAAATATGAGCCGCTCTCCAGACTCAGAGCAGGTGTAGTTGAGTTAAAATAATTTACGTTAGTTGTTCAGTGCATTAGCTAGGAACATTAGTGACACAGATAAGGCAGTAATGCTAACGTTATTCATCGGAAAAAAACAGGAGAATGGATATATATTGAGGTTGATATTTTGGCAACATGATTTTCTCGAAACAATAGCAGAAGTGGTTCTGCTAATGTCTCGAGAAAGGCATGTCGCCGAAATGTCACCCCAGCTATATCTCCACTCTCCTGGTTTTTCCGAGGAGTAAGGCTAATACAACTGTCTTATCTGAGTTGGAATAAAGATGGCCTAAACCGGGCTCGGCAAGCAGGAGTGAAAAAGTTTCCGATTTTCCGGATATGGTCGGTGACTAAAAAGGACACCTTTTGAGCCAGTTGGAGACAAACTTGTCAAAATGGAAACAAATCATAGCAGGTCAGACCATATTACGACAGACCATCTCTGTAAGATGAAACTCAAAGCCCAATATTGGTCTGCACTCGCCAGCGATTGCAATAAGAGCTTGTGTAGAGCACATGTCGAAGCTATGACGCTTAAATGTATGGGCAAGTTGAGCAACAAGGTATTGCCGAAAATGCTGGCTTTAATCAGGATAGTCTTAAGCAGGTTGCAAATACATATTATGAACTATGCTATATCAGCGCTGACGCCACAGATCAGACACATTGCTCTTCTGACGAGCAAGGAGTTCAGCTGACGAGAGTTCAACCGACGGTTGAGATTTGGGTGGCTCCGTATTTAAGGCAGTTTTAGTAGTGTCTTTTTTTAGCTCGGTTAATGATATGTGCGTTTAATATTGTGCAGAGATGAATTTTAGCTTAGTGGCCGCTGGATAGGGCATTGCTGTTTAATATTTGGACTGGTTTTGAAGATTAAAACGGTGAGTTTTGTGAAATTGGACGGAAAGGCTACTACTTTTTTAGCCAGAGAAAACTGATCAAAATTTACCTTGAAAACATGCCGTCGCAGCGCTGTCACATCGTTTTTTATGATAGGCCAATTTAGTTAATAGCAAGCCTCCAAAGAATGACCAAAATGGAAACGGTGGATTTGCGCAGCCAAATCAAACTGCTGCAAAACCAGGTAAACAGCAAAGAAGAAATGATTAACTGCCTGACAATGCATTTAGCCGGAATGTCCATCGTGTTTAATGACATACAGGCAGAAAAGAAGAAAAAGATGGTTGATGGCCGAGACGCAGGGGTGAAGGACCTTCAGTTTGCTGTAAAACAAATTGGCGACGATCTTGACATTCTGAAACGGCAACACAGAAATTTTGAAGATCAAACAAAAACCATTCATAAACTGGGAAAAACCATTCATAAAGTTTTATGCGGAGCCGCCATGGTAGCTGCTGTGAGTGAGCTAGATGCTGAAATGCAGGCAAGACATGCAAGGATGAATTTAGGCAATGCAAGTACACCAAAGTGCGGCATTGGACTGTGTGTCGCAAGAAAACTAGAAGTGATCTCCGCCGTGGAACTCGGATAAAAGGAAAACGAAAGTGGAAAAAACGAGGGAGGCACAAGAACATGCGAGAGGGAGAGGAGCGGTGGCCCAGTTGCTGAGGAAGCGGAATCAAGCAGCCAACTCACTCGAGATACCTATGGAGAAGAAAAAAAAAACAAAGGGCGTCGACTAAACGCAAAGAGGGTTAGTGCAGGAGAGAAGGTGGCAGACGCCGCAGGAAACGCAGATGGCGGATATGCGTGGACCGGAGTGGAGAGAAAAAAAGTAAACCGAAGATGCGAAAATTTGGAGCAATTCGGATGGGTGGAAGAAACGTAAGCCGTATCAAAGCAGCGGCCATGGAAGAGTATATTTTCGACCAAAACGTATCGTTTATTACAACGAGTGATGAACTTGAGAGTTTAAAGAGTGCGGTCACAAGAAATAAAGCGAAGGAAGTAGACGTTGTGTTCCATATTGGGGCTGACGATGTGCTGGATCATAGTGCATATTATGTTTTGGAGAGCATAAACAGCACTGTCAACCATGCAAAGTCCTTGAAAAGTATCAAACGAGTTTGATATTTGATATCAAAATATCAATCTTCATTTGCTCGCTTGAAGAGAGACGGGACGCTGGCATTATGGTTTATGAAACAGCAAAAACCGTCAACAGTGAACCCAGCCAGCTGTGTGCCACCCATGGAGTAGGATCCATAGATATGTGCCCAAGACTGATGTACTGAATTTTTGGAGGCCTGAACAAGACAGGTATCTTATACACGTTTGAAGGCGCCAGAAACGTATCGCAGCATATCATCAGCAAAGTGCTTGTTTTTTTAGACTCGATGATAAGTTGATCTGTACTTCTGATCAATTTCATGAGAACAAATCGCTTGACTCGAAGCCTTCCGGAAATCTAAGTTTTCTTACAGCCAACGTAAATGACTTTGTACAACCACTAAGCAAGTTGAGCTTGGCATGATGTTGCACAAGTATAAGCTAGGTGTAGCAAAAATCACGGAAACCCATTTAGGCAAGACCGTCCATGATAACCAGATTTTCCAAGCCGAATATGAAGTACCACGACGAGATAGAAACTTATTAGTGGTCAGCAAAAGTGAGGATGGAGGAGTCGCCATATACATGAAAAATAACTTACCACACACAGAGCCCAAAATTGAAGTCCCGGACGAGCTGGAAATTTGCTGGAGCATTATTCGACCTTTGCAACCCGACATCATCATAGTAGCTGGAGTTTACCTCCCTCCTGATGCATCATTCTGTCGCCGGAAAATGCTATCTGACCACCTTCTGGAAACACTTGATCGTCTTCCATCCTCAAGGCCAAGAGCACAAACCGTCTTGGGAGGAGACTTTAACAGAACCTTGATGCAGAATTGTTAGCGCGTCAGCTGGGTCTCTTGCAAATAGTTACGGAGCCCACAAGAGGTTGAGCCGTACTGGACAAGATACTGACTGATTTTGATTCTCCAAGCGCACCACTGAACCCATCACCCATTGGCATGACAGACCACACAACATTGTATGGTTGGCTGCAAAACAAGTAGAACAATCTCAAGGATATTGCTTTGCACGGCCTTTGAAGAACTCATCCATCAGAAGCTTTGGCAGATGGATTTGCTGCCAGGACTGGCAAGATATAATAGCAATAAATGATATAGACCAAGCTGCGGCTCGACTAGAAATGCTACTTTAAAATGCTTATGAGGAGCACTCCTCTGAAATTAAATACAAATGCAAGACAAATGAGCCGCAGTGGATAACAAAGCGCCTCAAAGAACTGATAAACAAACGCAGTAGGACGCACAGTCGTCATCAAATGGACAGACTACAAAAACTTAGAGCCAAAGTAGCTCTAGCGATTACAGCTGCAAAAACGGCATGGTGCGGTAAACGAATCCAAATAATTTCTTCTGACCGAACAGGGTGTTGGTAGCGACAAGTAGCCAGCTTAACCAACCGAAAACCAAAATCACCGAGCGCTCATTTTGCGGAAGCCAATGACGATAAGCCATCAGCGGAATTAGTAAGTCAGTTTTTTTGCAGAAATATGCACAACGTATGGACCGCTGCGTACAGAAGAGCTTTCCTGCAATCTGCCTG